CTCGGCCTGCAGCCAGGGCAGCACCTGCAGGAGCCCAGCAGGCCCCAGAGAGTGGGACAGGGCTCTTTCCCCAGGCTTGACCTCAGCAAGAACTTCCTCCAGGATCTAGAGGTCAAAAGGCCCAGCACAGGCCCCTCCACCAACAAAGGCTTATTGCCCAAGTCACCCCAGGGGCTGGCAGGGGTGAGGAGTGAGAGGCTTAGCAGTTACTCCAGACAACAGAAATCAAATTTGCTCAACCACAGCATAGAGTTCAGGAAAGGAACACAAACTTGGAATGCTAAACCACACAGAAATGCATTCAGACAACAAAATGAGAAAGAGAGGGCCTGAAGAGGGATGGGGGGAGAAGGAGGAGCAGGGAAGGAGGGAAGAATGAACCAGAAATGTTGTTGGGGGAGGGGGAGAAGTCAAGGAAACCAAACAACAAACCAGGAAACACAGCTTTGTAGCTCATTTGGAGAAAATGCAAGTTACAAATGAGTAGTCACTAAAATAAAGAAAAGGGGAGGGAAGAAAACCAACCGGAGCGAGACTGAGAGAAAGAGAGAAAGAAAACCACATTCAAACCAAGCAGAGTGGCAGGGCTTATCTGGAGATGGGAGCAGCGAGCGCACAGCTGAGCTGGGATACCTACCTTCTCAGCGGTCAGGGACGGGAATGCAATAATAAAAAAGAAAAGAAGGTCTCCGCATTGGGAACGCAGACTGGGGAAGACAGTGACTGTAAGCTGCGCTCCCCCTCTGAGCTGGCATATGGGCAGCCAAGTGTGGCTTTCGGTCTAGTCCCTGGGATGGCAGGGGACTCCTGCCCAGCCATTTCTGTGCTTTTTCCCACCCACCACCGATTCCAATAGCCAAGTTTTTCTTAACTCTTTAAACAACAGAAAACCTCCAGAGGGCATGCAGGAAGCAACTGATAGAAGCAGAACCACAGGGTGGGCAAAGGAGGGGCTGGCAGCCTGGGGAGATAGGCCTATTGCAGAGGAGAAATGGAAAGAAAGACAGAGACACAAGGGGAGAGAGAGAGAGACAGGGAGAGAAAGAGAAAGACAGAAGCAAAGGCAGAAGGGAATAGAGAGACAGAGAGAAAGGTGGACCCAGCCAGAAAGAAGACAGAGAAGCTGTTCAAACAAGGCCAGTCAGAGTGGACAGATGGGGTGAAGTGGGAACTGTGCATTTAAAAGGGAAGGCAGCCACAGATTCAATTTAGAGGATTGATCCTGCCTCAAGTCAACCTTACTCCCTTTCCCCCTGGCTTTAGCACCATTTAGCAAAATTCATCCCTCCTGCTTTCTGGCTTCATTCTGTAAGAAATGTCAAGATGTCCCTTCCTATTCTGACTGCCCCACTCTAGCCATGGTCACTGCTCTTCCCTGGGGGTGTGGAGGAGAGGCCTGGGATGAGGCAGGTCAGGCAGTGCCCTGGGCACCCCTTCTTGGGGTCACTCTAGGCTGCCTGGGGGCCTTGCTCTGAACCATCTCTGACTCAGCAAATGCTGAGACTTCCCTTGATACTTCCAATGCTAGGGACAGGTGGAACCAAGGCAGGGAGCCCTACTTCTAAGGCTGCAAACCCTGCAATCTATCTGGCCAATATGCTGGGCATCTTACTCATCTATCTCACATTATATGACCTTGAGCAGCTCCTTTCCCTCTCTGTGCCTCACTATTTCTTTCTCCACATGTGTGTGAACTGTGAGGGTTTAGGGTCCCTGAGTTGCTAAAGCTGCAGTCATATAGAGTTGGACTTGCGTAACACCAGGCTCACCTATACCCTGGTCTTCATGTGGGCAGGTCTCAGTGCCGGGAAGTTGAGAGAGCTGGGAGCCTGCCATCAACATCTGGAGGGGTCCCCAGGGGGAAGGTATGAGTGGAGACTCCCAGCATCCACCTCCCAAATCCTCCTCCTCCTGCTGCTCAGGGCTCTTGGAATGTGCTTCCCATTGACTACTGTCTCCACATCTTGGCTGTGGCTGGGGGTCTTGAGGTTAGATGGTCTCCTTTTAGTTCTATCTCTAAAATGCTGTGTGACTCAAACTGGTCATTTGATGTCTGTGAGCTGCAGAGAGCAGTGAGCAACAGAACCCAGAAATCCCTTTGGGGGTTCAGCCCTGGCCTGGGATAAGACAACAAAGAGATGTTGGGAGCTAGCATCCCACTGACCTCAGTCTAAGAACCAGGATGGATTTCTTTCTCTTGCTTGGGAGTGTCTGGCTTTGAAGCCCTCACCTGAGCTAAACTCTCTAAGATGTCTTCAGCTCCCTCTTCCAGGGCCTTCTAAGGATTTGAGGCCTAGCATGGAAGGTGCTGAGCAGCGTGTCCCTGTCATGCCCAGCCATCTTCTTATACTAGACAGAACTGAGGAGACACGGGAAGCTCACTGCTCTGGGTGACTGGGACAAGTCTTTCCTTCCCTGGGTCTCCCAGCTTCTCTCCAAAGTTCCTCATAGGCAAGGACCCAGAAGCATGGTCTGCACCACTTTTGTTAATTTGAAAGCTGAGGCAGTTCCACCAGTGCCTTGTGCCCAGGGTTGAGGGAAGGGATGGCAGCTGCTTGCAGATGTGGCAGAAGCTGTTGGTATGGGGATCATTTTTTAAAGAGTTATCTTCCCTTTTAAATTCTGATTACAAAGGAAAAAAATAATTATACAGAGATATGTATATGATTAATGTTCACTGAGATTCAAAAACCATCTCTGCATTAGGAGGAGAGGCTCCCACAGTAACGCACAAAAGCAAAATTCTAGAACAACAGAGAAGATAGAAAAAACCCAGAGAGATAGTTTGCATTTCTGTACATTACAAAAGGAAAAAAGAACAGGAAAAGAAAATACAAACAAAAACAAAATAACAGGAAAAGTTACATAAACTTCCCCACCCTCTTCCCTTGCCACTAAATGAGAAATGGAATCACAATATTACCAAGTTTCAAATGGGAGGCTAAAAAAAAAACAAAAAAAAAAACATAGATGGGGTTAAAAATGGTGAGCTTTTCTTTTTCCATTTGTCTCTCTCTCTCTTTTTTTAAAAGGTAGACTCCAAGAATACCACCCCCAGTGCTTTTCCCAAAAACCATTTTTGGTTAATGGCAAAGTCTATGATCCCCATCTCACCTCCCTGGAGATGAGAGAGAACTAGCCTCATTTCACTTTTAGGAAAGGCTCTATAGGGCAAGGAAGGGGTCTGGGTTCAGGTGAGAGGCAGGGGATGTTCAGCAGTCCCTGATGGCCCAGAGCCCAGAGGGTAGGGAGAGGACTCAGGGGCCATGTTTTGTGAAAAGAGTAACAAAGTGTTGTCTCCTAGAAGACTCTCAGGGCAATGTCAAAATGGAGTCCCATTTTGGGAGGGAGACAAGATTGGGGTGCTGCAGAGGCTTCCTCCCCAGGTCGGAGGCTAGGCCACCTTCTCTGACTGCTTGCTCCGAGGGTCTACCTAGTTGCTGTGGCCATTTTGTCTGCACATGCTCAAGGGCTCTTGTGGGGGCTACTGCCCAGGCATCCAAGGCTGGGGAGGAGACCAAAAGTGGGAAGGGGCCTCCTTTCCACCCTGACTTGAAAGAACATGCTTTTCTGTACTTCTGGGGAGGGGAGGGGCATGAGGATGTAAAGCTTCCATGAGAAGGTGTTTGGGGCACTGCCCTGTTAGGGCTCTGTGCCCATAGGGGTGGGAGGGTGTCCAGGTTGGGCATCATGTCTCATACCTGTCCCTGTCCTGGCTGCCCTCAACTACCTCTGCAAGCTCTCTCCCACACCCAGGACAGATCCAGGGACAACGGTGAGATCCTCCCCACATGGCCCGACCAGGCCCCTTAGAGCTCAGGAGCCTGGCACCCTGTCCAGGTGGGGCAGTTTCCACATAAGTAATGTCCTTAAACAAAAATTAACCTTGATACCAAGAGCCTTTTGTCACGTGCCCTTGGCTTTCCTTGCTGAGGCCCTGGACTTAGGGTATTTGAGAAAAGAAAGGGAGTGAAAGGAAAACAGCCAAAAATCAAAATGAAACTGACCAACATGTACATGTTTGCTGCTGAGACCTGAGGTCTGGGGAGGGGCAGCTCCCCCCTCCCTGCTGAAGGTTCTGGGCCGCCTGTGAGTCTGGCAGGGAAGAACCTGCAGACTGGCAGACTGCCGACCCTAAGTCCCCTGTGTCCACCCAGTGTCCCTGCCAGTGCTGTATCCCCTTCTCCCTGAGGGGGCCTCCATACTGTACTCTAAGATCAACAGACAGAAGTGGGCTATATGCCTCTCCTAGGTCCTATGAGATCCCCCACCTTGGTTCAGACATCCAGCTGTGGGCTCCTACAATTGCCACACCTGCCTGTGGGTCTCCAGGAATCTGTGCCCCTCCTGGAGGATGGATGGAGACAGCTTTTGGGGTGTTGTTGTTGTGGTCTCCCAGGGAGCAATGGGTACACTGGGAAGTGCCTTAGGAAAGATGGCAAGTGGAACCCCCAGGTTTGATACATCTGTCCAAGTGAGGGCAGTGCCTAGGAAAGGACAGACTCTTCCTGGAGCAGGGACTTTAGAAATGCAGCTCTGTTGTGTCAAGGGGACTGAGATAAGGGGAGGAATCTGAGAGAGGGGAAGGGGGTTAGTGAGGGGGTTGAAGGACAGAGAGCACTGTGAGAGGGTGTAGGGCTTGAGGAGAGGGAGGCTCAGGAACCCAAGTGATGCCCAGGGGAGTCTTGTCTCTGGAATCCTGTTCCAATGGCCATGCCCTCTCCCACTTCAATATGGCTGGGGGAGGGAGGCAAGAGATCTTGGTTCCTCTTACCTAAATGGCTGAGTGTCCCGGTGGTCAACCCTCTCTGGCTTTCAGTTTGCCAAGCTCAAGGGTAGCCCAAGCCTGCAGCTCCCCCCATCTCCCACCCAGGACACTAGAGCCAGATGGGCATAAAACCAAGCACTCCTGGCCGCTCCGTTCAAAGGAGGGCGCATGGGAGGGGGAAGCGGCGGGCCTGAGGGAGGCGTGCAGCGCCCCCGCCCCGTTACACACTCACAGCCCCCGGCCCCGCAGCGACTCGCCCCGCCCCAGCACGGCGCAGCCCCGCGTGGCGCGGGAACCCTCTGCAAAGCCAGGCGTACGTACATCGGGCGGGCTGTGCGCCGAGCCCGGGCGGCCCCGGTGCGCTCCGCTCCGCTGCCTGCTGCCTCCGTTCTGTTGGGGCGACCCCCATCCGCTGCCGCCCGACAGGGAAGGCGATTGGCTCCCGCTGGACCGCTGGCTGCCCGTCTTCCGACCTTCGCCTCTGTGCTTGGGGCTCTGCCTGCAGCAGGGGACACAGAGGGAGCTGGCGTGAGACACCCCTCTACAAGAAACCTCAGCCCCGCGGGAAGGCAGCCCCCTACCCTCCCTCGCACTAGGCTGGGAACCTTTCTATTTAAAGAGCCAGGCCCCAGGCCCCACACAGCCTTGATTTCCACTCAAGGTCTGGGATGCCTAGTCCAGTTCCAGGTTGGCACTGGCACTGTCCTGGTAAACTACCCGCTGATTAATTGCTGCTTTGTCTATCAGCACGGCCCCCCAGCCCTTGAGTATGTTTAATATGCGCGCTCCTTTGCCCCAACAGAAAGCCGAGCTTAGCCACATCTTGAGTGCTTCCAGTGGCCCAGGACCTACCTGCTGGGTGATCTGGAATCACTGTCCTGGGAGGAGAGTGAAGGGCTGTGGGAACTTCCACTGCTGTGGCGATGGGACCTCCGGCCTGGGGACTCGTGTGGCCTGGGAGAGAAATCAGCCTGTACTCAAGTTCTACTTGACCTCCCCATGGGGATGCCCATGAAGGCCTGATGGAAGCCACGGCTGACCAGTATCCCCTCCCCAAGTCTCCTACAAAAATAACACAAAAACTGTTCACATAGGTGCAAAGCCCAGCTAGTCGCTGTGGGTCATTTGTGGGAATTAGGAGGTGTCTTTTTCTCTAGATGGTCCCAGGCCTCCAAGATGTCACTGATCTCTCAGCTGTTGTTCTTGTGACTCTGAAGAGGTGCAGGGGAGTTATAAAGACTGAGCCTGAAAAGACCCTGGACTGGGAGGCAAGAGGCCTGGGTTCTAATTCCAGCTCTGCCACTGCCTAACGAGGGCTCTTGGCTTATTCTCTGCATCTGAATTTTTCCATCTGGGCAGGGTATACAAAGTGAGCTATTTCTAAGAGCCTGATTCTGAGACTCCAGATGGCCAGGTTTGCCGCGTGGGAAGAGGGGCTTAGGAGCTGGAGAATGGGAAGAGTGCTCACCTCTTCCTCTCTTTGTTCTTCTCTTTTCTTTTGCTCTTGGGGCTTCGAGATCTACAGAAAGCAGAAGCTAGGTGACAGCACAACCTGAGCCAGGCAGGGGAGGGAGAGGCCTCCAGCCCTGGAGCCTGGCTGTGCCCAGGTGTGGACCTGAGATTTATTCCTCTCTATGACCTGAGCCTCCCTGGCAGGTATGAAATTGCCCATCCCATCCCAATGCTTTGGTTTCTTCCACTCAGTCAAGTCTGTTCCTTCCTTCTCCAGTAAGTCCTGGCCCATGATCACCTCCTGCCTGGGCCCTAACTACTGCTCCCTCTGGGAATGCCAAAGGGTGGTATGGCTACAGATCCAAAAGGAAGGGTGACATGCCCTTATCTTCTGGCATCAGTCTAGGGACAGGCCCCTCTGATGAGTTATTGGGCGGGGGGTGACCCCTCCACACTTCATTTGTGTTCCCTGTGCCCCAAGTCTCCTCAGATGGGGCCTTCCCAGGTAGAACCCAAACCTCCTGCTTCTCTGCCCTCTAGACTGTGGCCCAGCCCAGGGCCAGCTCATCCGGGTTTTAGAAAAGAAACGCTTTCCTTTGGTTGTGATCTTCCTGCCCTTGGGCATAATTTTCCTGCTTTGGGGTTATTACTCTGGACCCCCATCCCATGCAGCTCTCTGACAAAAAAAGAGCTGCTTTTGACAAAAAGATTGAGAGCCTTCTGATTAGCCCTCTAAGGTCATACCTCATGCCTGGTCGAGTAGGTCTCTCAGCCCAAGCTCCCTTATGCCAACAAATTCTGGCTCAATCCTAGTCCTAAACAGGTGCTTTCTTCTGACCAAATATAAAGTGATGCTAAGAAACACACTGGAAGGTGTTTCTCACAGGAGC